TGAACGAGCAAAGAAAAAAGAGAAAGAGAAAATTGAGTTTAGAATGAAATTACTTTTGTACTTCAAGATTTCACCAATCTCTGGTGACTTAACAACGAGACACGAAAAATAAATAATAGAATCAAATGAGTTTTAAAAAAAAAAGAATCTATATCCCGAGCCTTTTCACTTTCAGTTGCTTTATAAAAAAAAATTAGCATATTAACTTTAAATTAAATAATTACTTTTAAATTTTATTTAAAAATTTTATGAAAATAAAAAAAATCAAAACTAAAATCAATTAAAAGTTTAATTGGCTACTAAAGTTTTTATTTTTTCCTTAAATTTTTAAGTTGCAGGTCTCTAAATTTAAGATTATTTTAATAGATAATATTAGTTTTAAAGTATTTAAAAAATAACACATTTATTAACTATGATATTGAATATAATTAGGAGCTCTTTTGAAAATGTAAAAGCTAATACAGCCACGGGGAATCAAACATGCGTGCATGCTGGTCCTTAAGGACTCGCTTTAGCTGAGCGTCTGAAACCAATGGACTAATAAACTTTGTTGTTTCGAGGTATTTAAAATGTCTTATTTAATCATTTAAAGTATCATTTTACTTATATATATAGTAGGGTGAGCGTTTGGTTTTTCGGTTCTTTGATTTTAGACAAGTGTGCATCGTATATCAAACTAAACTAATTCGATTCAATTTTTCTACTTCAATTCAGTTTAATTCGGTGTTTTTAAAATGATTTGTCGGTGCGAATGAAAAATAAAACGAGAACAAAATTAAAGTATAAGATACTTAAAAATTTAAAACTATGTTAAAGGATTATGTGTCTCGCTATGGAACACTTATTGTGCTAACTAAAATACTATATTTGTCTTTGTCAAGAACATTGTGTCTACAATTCTCGAGTAAAACAAGGACGAAGACAGTGTTCCTTTACATAAAGTACATTGATAAAAATATGTTTGGGTTCCTCTTGGGAATTAATATTTTGAACTTAACTATTGAATTATAAATTTGTTACTACTTTTATTGTAAGTTGACTTTTTATTTTTAGTTAAGGAAATGCCTCGAAATATTATATATATATATATATATATATATATATATAAAATTAATTTTATTTTTCATAAAAGTTCGATTCTTCAGTGCACCGAAGTTCTGAAACCCTTACATGTAAATCGAATCGAAGAACCAAACTTTTGAAAAAATAACACCGACACCGAATTAAAAAACCGAAGAACCGAATTAGTTCTGTTCAGTTCGGTTTTTTGATTTTTCGGTACTTATGTCCACCTCTAATATACAGTGTAATTTTCTGACGAAGGTTGTCAGCTTGGACATCCTGAGCAATGCATGGTCATGGTGTAGCTCACCCCTGATAGTATTTTGTTGATAACATATAAATACTTTTAGGCATAATAATTTCTTACTTACTTATCAAGCACTAGAAAATAAGGAAGAAAGTCACTTATTTTTCAAAAATATATTTTCTAACAAATTATTTTTCGTGAAAAATATTTTCTTTCGTACCAAACACACCTAAGATGCTAAGAATAATAACTTGTGTTACACTTTGATTGAGTTTATTTTTTATCATGGCGCGTGCAAACTTCTATCTTCTTTAACCAAGTTTAACTTTTATGTACATGGATAATATAAAAAATATTTACGACTAATCTTTTCTATTAAGTAAAACAAAAACTAGTTATTAATGAAATAAAAAGCTATTAAAGATTAATGATTTTTCAGGTTCTCTTATTGTTTTTATTGTTTAGAACACTTTTTTTTACAGATCTAAGATTTATTTTTTTGAAATAACGTTTAAATATTTTTGATACTATCGACTTTGAGTATTATTTAAATAAATTAGAGTACATATTATGGTATATGAATCAAATTTGTTTTCAATTAATTTTTGTATTGTTGATTGGATGAACTAAGAAGAGAAAACACAGTCTAAAGCAATGAAAGCATCCAAAACCTTTTCATGTTGCAAACAAGACTTAATAAGTTATGAATAATTTTTTTATAAGATTAATTAGTCAAAAAAACAGAGTAAAAAGTCAAAATTGATTATTGTATCAAATTGCTTCAATGTGGTGTTGATGAAGAATGAGGTGAAAATAATGAAGGACAAGAGAAAGCAGTGAAAGAATATATTTTTATGGCAATCAAATAAGAATCCTAAACAAACTACTATAATTAATTTAGAGTTCAAGTTACCACATCATACTTTTTTGTTATTTTTATTTTAAATATTAATAATATGTGAATATATTAAAATAAATAAGTATTTCTAAAAATAAACTGATGCTATAATTTTCCAGTCCACAGTCAGTAGAGAGAAGTTTATTATATACCCTTTAGTTATTATATTTAATTATTTAAAATGTTAATTTCTTTACAATAAATATTTTCTCTTTAGTTTCTCATCAATAAATAAAAAGAGAGTTAATCTAAATCATCATAATATTGAAAAATATGTGTTTCGCTCTTCAGTTGTGTTTTTTAATGCGAATTAGTCAATTATATTACTTCCGAGAATAATAATTATTGCTATGGCTGAAATAGAAAAAATATACTTAATTATATCTTGGATTTTTTAAATAGGACCATTATTTTGAATAATTTATTTTCAGCAAGAACGATAAATAATTATTGCCATAGTTAGTGTGTCGAAGTTGATCCTCCTCTTTTAAGTATTTGAGCAAATCTAGATACCATCGAGGAATTAAACGGTTGGTTTAATTCATACTTTTTCCATCTCATTTTATATGTCACCTATTTATTTTGTACTTGCATTATGAAATGATGTAATTTTATTCTTCTATCCTTATTTAATATTTTCTTAAGCCAACTTTATAATAAATGATGAATACATTTTCAAGATTAATTGACTATTCTATCAAGGGTATAATAGGCAAAATATGATAATTTATGCATAAATTTTATAAAATTACAAGTATTGTGATCTAGCTATTTATAGAAAGGGATGACATATAAAATGAGATGGAGGAAGTAAAGTTACATCATTTCTTAATGCAAGTGCAAAGTAAAAATATGACATATAAAATGAGACGGAGAAAGTAAAATCCATACTGTTTTTATTTTAATATTTTCATATTCTTTTAAGTGTTTTTCATTTTTAGTCTGCCAACAGCCAAGTATTCTAACATTTCTTTTGTAAAGAGCAAGTCAGATACGTGTGGCTGGGTCAGGTCTCTTCCTTTTTAATTTTGTTGTGATTGTATTTTATTATTTAGGGATTGCTCATTACTATTCTTTTCATATGTCAATTTCCACTTTTTTCAACTATTAAATATAAGCCCCAAAAACAAGTCTCGTGTACTTCTATGGGGAAAAATAATTATTTCATGTAAAGAATATATAAGTACATCTGTGTTTATACATATAGGGGCTGTTTGATTACTGGATAAAGGAAAAAGCTAATACATGAATAACTTCATTATTTTTGCATTTATTTTATAATATGCTTGGTTTATAAATAGGGATAATACATAAATTAGGGGTATACATGGCCGGGTTGGTTCGGGTTTTTCAAATATCAAACCAAACCATTTATGTCGAATTTTTAAATTTATAAATCAAACCAAACCAATAAAACTCGGGTTTTTTCGGGTTTTTCGGTTTTTCGGGTTTTTCCGGTAAAGTATTCATACAAACATATAATTTACTAGTACTTCAAATATTTTTTTAGTCCAACCAAAATACAACAATCTAAGATGTTTCTTAAAAATATAACACAATATTATATGATTAATGACACTAAAATATCCAACAAAAATAATAATAATAATGAAATCGCGTAAAACAAATATTGCAAATTAACAAGTCATAATGAAAATGATCATAATTTAAAAGTACTAAATCATGCTAAAATTAAGTTTAATAAGTATTAGTTACATGACTAAATATTAAAGGAAATAAAAATTAGATTATGTATTTTAATTGTCTAAACCAATGTAAAACTAAAGAACAAATATTCAATATTATTGTCATTCTTAGTGTTGAATTGATTTTCTTTTTGCATTAGTATTAATTTGATTTTGATTTAAGCTTTATTATAATTACCAACATCTGTGGACTATAATCTTTATTTGCCCATTCATAATTCTAAGTTTCAAACTTGAAATAATATATTAAAAGATAAAAACTATGAAAAAGTATAAGAAATATTTAAAAATTATATCAACGTAAATATTTTTATGTATAAAATAAAATTTTAAAATTATATATATAATGTCGGGTTGGTTTGGTCTCGGGTTGGTTTTTTTAAGTTAAACCAAACCAACCCAAATATAGTTGGGGATTTTTTTCAAAACCAAACCAAGTCAAACCAAACCACTAGTCGGGTTTTTTTTCCGGGTTGACTCGATTTGCGGTTTGGTTCGATTTTCGATTCGGTTTTGTACACCCCTAACATAAATATACCCTTTAACTTGGCCTCATTTCACATTTATGGTCTTTATCTTTGGTTGTGCACAACAACACAAGTAAATACTTTAACTTGTATAAAGTTGAACAAGTAAACATATGAGTCCTATGTGGCATAATACACATAGGACACCACGTAGGACACAAATTACATTTAGAATGTCATGTAAGATGTGTACTATGTCTATTTGTTTAATTTTAAATAAGATTAGGTTTTTTCCGACTTTCACAAAAAATTGACCTCCTAAAATCGATGTTTTACAACCTTCACACAAGGTCGGTTTTTTTGGGTTGATTTTCCCTCTTTTTTTCCTAAAGTAATGGAAGTTGCATGCAATATTTGATAAAAGTGGTGTACATACTATCACCTAAATAAAGTTAATAGCGCGTATTCATTTGACACCAAAAAGATCAATCTTAAGCATAAGGTTATTTAAGTAAACTCCATAATAATATAAAAAGCAATAGACCATCTTGTGACAAACAAATATTTTATAAAGCAATTAAAGTTGACACTTTTTTTCCTAGTGCTACTTTGCTTTGTTGCAAAAATCGATAGAGACTCTAAAACCTTTGTAAGCCTTCAACTTTATAGAAAAACAAAAAAGAAAGAAAGATGCAATGTTCAGAAGAAACTATAGCTAGTTTGTTCTACAATGTCTCTAGCTCTTTTCAAATTTTATTACTCTTCACCTATTTCACTTCCATTTTGCTTGCCAAATTCTTCTATTTCCTTGGTGGAAATCCGTTTTTCTGGAGGTAACTTGTAATTTTTCCCTTACTTTCCTTTTAATATTTTAATTCTCAGTTCGTGGAAATTCTTTTTGATATGGATGGCTGAGACTTGATCTCAGGACCTCTACATGCTCTGTTACCATGTTGAAGTGTGTGACCATATCATTTGAAAACTTAAGATATTAGAGAGAACACACTTTAATTAGTTAATTATGTTCTTAACACAATTACTTTATTTTTAGGAATCAAGATGCATATGAATTTTCTTATGACGAAGAAGTGGAGGAAGAACATGAGTATTATCATAATGATAATTGTGAGATTGTGGAAGAAAATCATTTCATAGATGATGAATTTCTTGGTGTTGAGAAAGAGATAGAAGAAAGTTGTAGCAGTACTGATGATGATTATGAAGAGGAGTCTATTTATAGCTCAATGATGGATTCAGAATCTATTTATAGTGATGATGATGAAGTGGAAGTTAAAGAAATAATAGATGATCATTCTGATTCTGATTCTGATCCTTCTAGTTATTCTGATTCTGAAATCAACAAAGTTGGGCCCACTTCACCTCTTCCCCGGGACATGAATACAAATGTATTAACGAATATCATCGACAAGGACATAAATCATGGTACGTACTAATTCAAATCTTATTTTACAAATTAAATTTATTTCCCAAAACAACGTGTACAATGTTAATAATGGTCCTTCGAGATGACTTAGTTGGTTTGGAGGGTAGTTATCCACATGAATGATCCAGGATAAATCCCTTCTCAATGTCTTTTGAGTCGAGTCTGTCGCATCGGACTACCTAGTGCCGATGCGCTCAAAGTGTTTGGTCACCTGAAGGGTAGAAACTGTGTCAGAAGTTATACTTAGATTCCAAAAAAATATGTTAATAATGATGTCTTTGTTACAGGAAATTGTTACAGGGAAATGATTGAAGACAAGAAAGTGACAGAAATTAATTTGTGTACTAGAGAGGAAAATATGATTGTTAATGCAACATCATCAAAGTTAGAGAACAATAAGAAGATTTTGCAATTAGTGCAAGAAGAAAAGGATGAGCATGAAATATTTGGGGATTCTTGTACTAATGGCTCAACTTCAAAGAGTTCTACTGAATGGAGAAGTTCAATTAAAGATTCAACAACTGATGATCCATTTTCTTCTTCATCAAGGAGAAGTTGCCCTAAATGGGAGTCTTACACTATCTTCCAAAAATATGATGAAGAAATGTTGTTTTTTGATAGAATTAGTGCACAAAAACTACATGAAACAGGTAAATCTCCATCTCTCTATCATTTTTTCCAGGTTAATTTCACGTATTATTACTGAATTTTGTACTTTATAATAATAAATTCGCAAACCAAATTTATCACATTAAAAAAAGTGAAATTGTACATGTTGCTTAGAAAATACAAATAATGGAAAAAGTGAAATTTCTAGTGTTGGATTAGGAATTTTTGTACAAGTGAAGGACTTCTATAGTTATTTTGTTTTTAATTTGTTATTAAATGTTTTTTTTAATTAAATTACGGATAGGTATGACTCATCACTAACGTGATGAGTGATGAGTCATACTTCTCGATTTACAATAGTTATAATTAGTGAGATAATTTATAGTGACATTAATATTATGACATGTTTTTAAAATATTCCTTCTTCAACTTTATGCTTCAGTCAAAGTGCATCGTATAAAATGAAAACACTAAATGTATAATGATAGGTAAAATTCAGTGACGATAAGTGAAATATTTTCTTTTTTCCTACCACAAAAATGTTTCTATTTTGTTTTAATTATTGACTAATGAAGCAACCAATTAATTTCCAGAAACATTAAGATCAATTCAAGCATGTCCAAGATCAATATCAGATAGGATTGTTCATAAATTGTTTATAAATAAGAAGTCAACTCAGCATCATAACCCGTATCATGAACTAGAAGCTGCTTACGTAGCACAGGTATGCTTAGCATGGGAAGCTCTGAGTTGGAATTACAAGTACTTCCAACGACTACGAGCTTCCCATAATAACAATAATAATAATAAGGGATCGAAGGACGATCAAGGTTGTCCTGCTTATGTAGCACAACATTTCCAGCAGTTTCAAGTTCTTTTACAAAGATACGTTGAGAATGAGCCGTATGAAAATGGAAGGAGACCAGAAATTTATGCTAGAATGAGAAGTTTAGCTCCAAAATTGCTTCAAGTCCCAGAATATCGAGGTACTAAATTTCTTTACCTTTTAATACGTATGAAAAAGTCCATGTTGAATATATTATGGTCAATGAAATTACATTTCCATTTTGACTTGTACCCAATATTATTGGTCTAATGAATTATTTAAACATCTATAGTGCTTGCTTTTATTTATTAATTGTTATGCTTTCTTCATTAGTAAATTGAGCTGAGGGTCTTTAATTAAGAAAAATCTTTCTACTCTATAATGTAGTGGTAAGGTCTGCATACACTTTTTCCTCTCAAATCATACTGAGAAGAATTATATTGAGTATATTATTGTTGTTGGTGTTGGTCGTGAGTGCTATTTAACCTTATGTTGAAAATTATTGTTCCCTCTCCCCCAATTTATGTGACACATTTCGTTTTTCAAAAGTCAAACAATTTAGGTTTGACATAAAATTTGCTAATGAAATTTTCAAAAATTTTAAAATGAAATTTATATATTTGTAAACTATGTAAAAAGTATTATAAATCACAATAATTGACATATCAAAATATTTAAAAAATATATAAAAAATTTACAATAAAAAATAGACTTATTTGAATCTCGGAATGTGAAACATGTCACATAAATTGAGATAGCAGGAGTAACTTATTTTTCGTGTCATACATGGGCTGTTGCCTGTAATTTAATTGACTTAGTGGTATAAAAACCTTTTTGTATTGTTATTTTAGTATATAGAATTTGAACTCATTTATTGTTAAATATCTTTTTTTATTGAATAATTCAGACCTTCACTTTTCAGTAGTCTTCTGTGTTGTAGTAGAGAATTAGGAAAAGAATGAATGTGACACTAGGGTGGACCAAATCTGCCTTTTATTCAAGATGGATGACTTGTGCTTTTTTATTAAAAATAATAATTAGAATTTAATAATGTGAACTAATTGTGCTATAATTATTTTCTTTCTAAATTAAGTTGAATATTAAAGAAAAAAATAATTCAATTGCTTATTTTCGATATTCTTGCTATCAAGAATCGTGATATATTATATAATTATACACCGTACACTTATTTTGATTAGATTCAGAGGAGGATAAAGGGGCGGAGGAAGATTATTGCTCAAGAATATCTTCAGAATCATTTCATGAAATAATGAAAGAAGCAATCAGAACCTTTATGAATTTTCTAAAGGCAGACAAGGAGAATCGTTACAAAATATTAATGGCAGCTTTCCTTAGGAGAAAAAGAAGAGGTTCACCTCATGCTACCATCTTCTTGCTAAACAGACAAAACAAAAAGGCAAGTATCTAACATCTCTTCTTCTTATTAACAAAATTATGTATTGAAATTCACAACTATATATATATATATATATATATATATATATATATATATATTATAATATTGGGATTTAATATTATAAAATGTGTCATTATTGCAATTATTTGTTACATCTGAGCCGATGGTCTTTCAGAAACAGTCTTTCTACCTTTACGAGATAGTGATAAGGTCTGTGTACATTCTACCCTCCCCATACTACATTGGTGGGATTTCACTTATAGGTACATAATTGATGATTGAGTTTAAAATGACTTAATAGGGTGAGTTTTATGTGCAATACTACTTGTACATAGAAGTTTAACCATAATATTAATTGTTTATAACATTTAAGTATATGTATAGGCACTAATAATGTAAAGAATTACACGTTATAACATAGTAATAACGATTTATATTGACAATGCACATAACGTAAACCTTTAATATTTTGTGCAGAAAAAATCAAAGGTGAAAGATTTACAAAGATCAGGAAAGTGCTTGAGGAATAAAAGAAGGTTAAAAGATGAAGAAGAGATGGAAATATTGATGTCATTAGTAGACTTGAAATTAGTGTCAAGGGTATTGAGAATGAGGCAAGTAAATGAAGAACAATTGCATTGGTGTGAAGACAAGATGAGCAAAGTAAAAATAAGTGATGGCAAATTACAAAGAGATTCTTCACCACTTTTCTTTCCAGCACAATAGTAGTACTCTATGAGGACCCCATTTAGCATTAAGTAAAGTGTTTCATTTTACTTTAATGACTAGATCATGAATCATGTGTCATGTAGATGAATATCCTCAATATACTGCCAAAAAAGGACAAGGATGGCCCAGAAATAAAAGTTACTTAGGGAGGAAAACAATGAAAAAGGTGAGTTAATGGGAATAATTAAGCAAAAAGAGAAAAGAAGATAAAGGGGACGTGCATGTGGATAAGTAGCTTTACTTTACTTCTTTTTTAGAGCTTTTTTATTAGGGAGGGTTTATCCAAAAGAAAAAGCTATATCTTGTGATTTATTTTGTCCCACTCTTGCTTTTATGGACCAAATATGAAATATGAAAATGAACAACAATAGAAAGAGCTAATATGTCTTTTGATCTTTGTGTATTTTCTAGTTTAAACCACGAGATCAGGATAAATGTATCTTGTCATATTCTTAGGACATCATAACAGTGAGGTTATCCTCACGTTTATGTAGTAATTATATTCAATTAGAATTCATGTTTATCGTTTATCATTTGGAGAGTTTTTATTCAGTTACACTTTGTGTAACATCCTGTATATATTGATGATGAACTCTTTCATAAAATACAATTAAGATTTATTGTATTCATAAAATATCTACATGGTATCGGAGCCATGCGAAGACTCACGACTCACAATGACACTTCCCTCAATTACCACTATCACCTCGCAAAACCCTTCACGGAATTCATTCACAATCAACATCATTTAGACTCATCTTCTTAAATTGGATCGTCATAATTATATTGTGTGGACATCACAAATTCTCCCGGTTCTTATTAGGGGTCATGAACTTGAGGGATATGTGGATGGTACACACAAGTGCCCTCCCAAGGTAATTCCAAATAGCTCTTCTAAAGCAGCCTTAGCTGGCGCGGTTATCAATCTAAAATACTATTTATGGATCAAACAAGACCAACTTTTATTGAGTTGGCTTCTCTTAACCCTCAACGAAGGGATTTTAGCCCAAGTAGTCGGTTGTACGTGTGGGGTCCATCCCCATGTGCCAAACTTTGATAAATCTCACAATGTCAAAGGGTTGGCAGATTTGGAAGATATTGGATATACACGTGCTGATTTTTTTTTCCAGCGTTCCTCAAAAGTCAAATGTTGGTAAGCTGTGAAGAAGAAAAAAAATATTTTTCTTCGGTAGCATATTTGGAGGCTACTGCATTTGTTCTCTATAAAAGGTAGGGTCATTCTTCATTCTCAAATGCACCAAAAACAAAGGAGAGAAAAGAAGAGTGAGGCATCACAGAGGAAAATATTCTGTGAGGAAAAAGAGAGAGTGTGAGAAATATTGTAGTGAGGTGGGAAAATCAAAAGTGTAGTGGTCTTTGGAGTTTTTACTCAGACCTACAAGTGTAAAAATTCTTACTCTAGTGATATCAGTTGCTCCTCTCGGGCTGTGTTTTTTCCCTTATTCAGAAGGGTTTCCACATAAAATTTTGGTGTCATTATTGCTCTTTTTATTCTTGTTGATTAACCGTATTGTTGTGTTTCGCTTTTATTGCTTTTATTACCGCAAATATTATTTATGTTATGGGCTTATTCCCAACAATTGGCATCAGAGCACAGGTTCTACTCATTTATAGAAATATTTTTGCCGTCTATCGTTCTATATTTAGTGACAAAAAAATGTCTGGAGTAAAGTACGAGGTAACAAAATTCAACAGTGATAACGGTTTCTCAATGTGGCAGAGAATGATGAGGGATTTACTCATCCAACAGGGTTTGCACAAGGCACTAGGCGGCAAATCCAAAAAGCTTGAATCCATGACACCTGAGGATTGGGAAGAAATGGATGAAAAGGCTACTAGTGCAATCAAGTTGCACTTAACTGATGATGTGGTTAATATATCATCGATGAAAAGAGTGCATGTGACATTTGGACAAAGTTAGAAAATCTATACATGTCCAAAATGCTGACAAATAAATTGTACCTAAAGAAGCAGTTATACGCCCTACAATGGGTGAAGGTACAATTTTTTTGTCCCATTTAAATATTCTTAATGGACTAATCACACAGCTAGCAAATTTCGGAGTAAAGATTGATGAGGAAGATAAAGCCACAGTACTCCTAAACTCGTTGCCATCTTCCTACGATAATTTGGCAACAACCATCTTACATGGTAAGGACTCTATTGAGTTGAAAGATGTCACATCAGCCCTTCTGATTAATGAGAAGATGAAAAGAAATCTTGAAAATTACGGACAGACTCTCATCACATAAAGTAGAGGCAGAATTTACCAAAGGAGTTCAAGCAACCATGGTAGATCTGGAGCTCGTGGAAAGTCCAAGGTCTGATCAAAATCAAAGACCAGAAATTGCTACAATTGCGATCAACCAGGTCACTTCAAAAGAAATTGTCTGAATCTAAAAAAGAGCAAAGGAGAAAGCAGCAGTTGGAAGAATGATGACAACACAACTTTCATGGTGCAAATAATGACAATGTTGTTCTCCTCATAAACGAGGAAGATGAATGCATGCACTTGGCAGGTGTAGAGGCGGAATGGGTGGTCGACACAACAACATCTTACCATGCCACACCGGTAAGAGATCTTTTTTTCCAAATATGTAGCAGGTGATTTTGGTAATATGAAAATGGGTAACACAAGTTACTCAAAGATTGCGGAAATTAGAGACGTTTTCATAAAGACAAATGTCGAATGCACATTAGCTTTGAAAGATGTGCGCCACGTACCTGATTTGTGGATGAACTTGATCTCGGGAGTTGCTTTGGACCGAGATGGATATGAGAACTACTTTGCAAATAAAAAATAGAGATTCACCAAAGGGGCATTGGCGATTGCAAAAGGAGTTGCTCGTGGCACGTTGTACAGGACAAATGCAGAAATATGCCAAGGTGAATTAAATGTGGCTCACGAAGAGATTTCTACAGATTTGTGGCATAGAAGAATGGGTCATATGAGCGAGAAAAGATTGCAAATTGTTTCCAAAAAATCACTCATCTCTTTTCCCAGAGGTACAACGATAAAACCTTGTAACTATTGTTTATTTGGTAAGCAACATAGAGTCTCATTTGAGACATCATCTGAAAGAAAGTTGAATATACTTGATTTGGTATATTCTAATATTTGTGGTCCAATGGAGATATAATCAATGGGACGCAATAAATACTTTGCTATTTTTATTGATGATGCTTCACGAAAATTATGGGTTTATATCTTGAAAGCCAAATATCAGGTGTTTCAAGTATTTCAAAAGTTTCATGCTTTGGTAGAAAGAGAGACGGGTCTGAAGCTAAAACGGCTCCGAACTGATAATGGAGGTGAGTACACATCAATAGAATTTGAAGGGTACTATTCAAACCATGGAATTAGACATGACAAGACAGTTCCTGGAACCCCACAACACAATGGAGTAGCTGAGAGAATGAATCACACCATTGTTGAGAAGGTGAGAAGAATGCTCAAAATGGCTAAATTGCCTAAGTCATTCTGGGGTGAAGCAGTTCGGACAATATGTTATCTTATCAATCATAGTCCATCTGTTCCATTGGAGTTTGACATTCCGGAAAGAGTTTGGACCAACAAGGAGGTGTCCTACTCGCATTTAAAGGTGTTTGGTTTCAAAGCTTTTGCACATGTACCGAAGGAGTAGAGAACCAAGCTAGATGATAAATCAGTTCCCTGCATATTCATCGGATATGGAGATGAAGAGTTTGGGTACAGACTGTGGGATCTTGTAAAGAAGAAGGTCATCAGAAGTAGAGATGTAATTTTCTGAGACAATGCAGTTGGAACTGTTGATGATCTATCCGAGAAGGCCAAGAAAAAGAATGGTACAATCCCTAATGTTGTTACCGTTCCTTTTACTTCTAACCATCCCATAAGTGCAGAAAGTACGATTGATGAAGTTGCTGAACAGGAAGATAAACCAAATGAGATTGTTGAGTAGGGGGAGCAACTTGGTGATAATACCGAGCAGGTGGAGTACCCGGACAAAGAATAACAATCTCAACCTCTGAGGAGATCAGAAAGACAAAGGGTAGAGTCATCCAAGAACCCTTCCTCAAAATATGTCCTCATCAATGATGAAGGGGAGACAGAAAGTCTTAAAGAGATGTTGACTCATCCAGAAAATAGCCAATGGATGAAAGCCATGCAAGAAGAGATGGAATCTCTACAGAAAAATGGCACATACAAGCTAGTTGAACTTCCAAAAGGCAAAAGACCGCTTAAGTGCAAATGAGTCTTTAAATTCAAGAAAGATGGAAATGGCAAGTTGGTTTGATACAAAGCTCGATTGGTTGTAAAAGGCTTCGAACAAAATAAAGGTATTGATTTTGATGAAATATTTTCGCTTGTTGTCAAAATGACTTCTATTCGAACTATTTTGAGAAATTGGACGTGAAAGCTACATTTCTTCACGGAGATTTGGAAGAGGAGATTTATATGAAGCAACCAGAGGGATTTGAAGTATCTGAAAAGAAACACATGATGTGCAAATTGAATAAGAGTCTTTATGGGTTGAAACAGACACCAAGGCAATGGTACAAAAAGTTTGACTCTTTCATGAAAAGTCAAACGTACACAAAGACCTATTCTGATCCATGTGTATACTTCAAAAGATTTTCTGAAAACAATTTTATTATTTTGTTGTTGTATGTGGATGACATGTTAATTGTAGGACAAGACAAGAGTTGATTGCAAGGTTGAAGAGAGATTTGTCCAAGTCATTTGACATAAAGGACTTGGGCCCAGCACAACAAACTCTAAGGATGAAAATTGTTCGAGAACGAATAGAACGAAAGTTGTGGCTATCTCAAGAGAAGTACATTGAACGTGTACTAGAACAATTCAACATGAAGAGTGCTAAACCTGTTAGCACACCTCTTGCGAGTCATCTGAAGTTCAGCAAACAGATGTGTCCTACAACAAAAGAGGGGAAAGAGGGAATGACCAAAGTTCCTTATTCTTCAGTAATGGGGAGTTTGATGTATGTAATGGTGTTTACAAGACCTAATATTGCTCATGCAGTTGGTGTTGTTAGAAGATTCCTTGAAAATCTTGAAAAAGAACACTAGGAGG